CCTTACTTTCTCCCAAACAAAGAGTCTCTCTGTTCTCAGTCACCTAAAGCTGGGGGTGGAGTGACACAAACCCCTGTGGCCACCACCACTCTGATTGTGCTGTGTCCGACCTGAAGCCAGCTTTTGCGTAAGGCCTGCTGTAACCACTCCCTGGTTACTGCCTGTGTTCACTCAGGGCCCTGGGCCTCTACTATCAACAGGTGGCAAAGCCAGCCAGGCTTGTGTCTTTCCCTTCAGGGCGGTGAGTTTCCCCAAGCTCCCGGGCAGACTCAGAGATGCTGTCCCGGCATCATGTACTAAAGTGGAAAACCTTAGAAGTCTACCTGGTGTTCTATTGTATTGTGACTGAGCTGGCACTCAAACTACAATTGCAGTCTTTCCCACTCTTCCCTCCCCTTTCCAAAGGCGAAGGAGTCTCACTTTTCCACCACCGCCACCCCAGGCCATGAGAAGTACTGCCAGACTAAGTCCAGCATTCCCTTAAGGCCCTAAGTCAGCTCGTGGTAAACACTGCCTGGCCTGAAACCCTCTTTCAGAGCACTGGGCTCCCCTCTGGCCCAGGGCAGGTCCAGAAATGCCATCCGAGAGTCAAATCCTAGAGTTGGGGACCCCAGGAGCCTGCCCACTGCTCTACCCAACTGTGGCCGTGCTGGTACCTGAAGCCAGCAAGTCTCAGAGGCTCACCCAAGGTCCTGGGTATCACTGCTGGCTATTCAGGGCCCAAGGGCTCTTCAGCCAGCAGGTAATGAATGCTGCCAGGACTGGGTCCTTCCTTCAAGGCAGTGGGTTCCCTTCTGGCCCAAGGTGTGTCTAGAAATGTCACCTGGGAGCTAGGGCCTGGAAAAGGGACCTCACAATTCTGACTGTGCCCTGTCCTCTGTGGCTGAGCTGGTATCCAAGATGTAAGACGAAGCCCTTCCCACTTTTCCCTCTCCTCTCCTCAAACTGAAGGAAGAGGTCTCTTTTGGAGCCATGAGCTGTGCAGCCTGGGGTTGGGGCAGGGGTGATGCCAGCCCTCCCTTGGCTGATGTCTCAGTAGGCCATGTGCCCCCCGATTCCACTGTCTCTGGGCCTAGTTCAGCACTAGGACTCACCTAAGTGTTGCAGTCCTTATGGCCTAGACTGACTTTCAAGTTGATTTGGAGACACAGAGCGCTGTAGCCCACAGTGGCGAGGCTTGGGGGAACTCGAGTTCCCCCTGCTGGAATTGGAGATTCCCCTCAGGCGCGGGCTGGTTTAAATACTTGGTGATTCAGGACTATTTTTCTATCTCCTCAGTGCCCCTTTCAGCAATGTGAAGATAAAACCAGGTACTAGGAGAATCTACCTGATTTTTGGTTCTTCTAAAGGTGTTTTTTTCTGTGTAGATAGTTACTAACTTCCTGTTCTTGTGGGGCATGGGTCAGGTGGAGGTTGATCGGCGGAGACTTCTGTTCTTCCATCTTGCTCTGCCTCTCTTTTGTTGATTTCAATCCAGAAATACTGTTTGCCTGTTGCTGTTTGAGATGTCGTAGTAGCTAACTCGCGTGTCTGTGTTTGTGGATCATCATGGTGTGTGTCTTGTCGTTAGGCAAACCTCTGCTCTTCAGACACCCTCAGGAGCAGCTCTGCAGGGACAGCACCGCTCATCCCTCTGGAAGACTGCCCTCTGGAAGCTTTCAGGAAAGGCCCCTGAGAGCACAGTAGCAATCCAAAAGCCACATTCTGTTTTTTATTTTTACTATTATTACATATATATTTTTGAGACAGGGTCTCACTGTGTCACCTAGGCTGGAGTACAATGACACGATCTTGGCTCACTGCAGCCTCTAGCTCTTGGGCTCAAGGGATCCTCCCGCCTCAGCCTCCCAAGTAGCTGGGACTACAGGTGTATCCCACTATGCAGGGCTAATTTTGTTGTTGTTGTGGCCCAGGCTAGTCTCAAATTCCTGGGCTCAAGGGATCCTCCTGCCTCAGCCTTCCAAGGTGTTGGAATTACAGGCATCAGCCATTGCACCCAGCCTATTTTATTTCACCATATTAAGAGTCATATCTATTGGCATTTAATGTTCAGCTCTTTACAAACTTGATTTTTCTAACTTTCCAGGCAAAATGAAAATGATTGGAAATTGCAAACCTAAAAGAGGTGTTTGGAACGTGTTTTAGATATGATAACGGACCACCAGATTTTCAAGGGGGCTGACAGAAAAAGTGAAAACTCTCTACTGCATTGTATTACTTGGCATTCCTTAGGAATAATGTTCATAATGTCTCCTATCTAAGAGGGGGAGGGGAACTAGTATATTTTAGCAAGATTTTTGTCAAAAAACATCAACATTCAAGATATTTTGGCACCAAAAAGGAGAAGTGCCTGGTTTCTGGAAAAATAACTTGAGGTATATGTTATTCCCTAAGAAAGCTGGTAAATAAGGCATCACTGTGTGCCTCTGGCCTCAAGGCAGTCATGCAAGCCTTCATGACACATCTTCTGAAGTGCTGTGTAGACTAGATCCCCCAAACCCTTCCGCCAGTAAGGAGCACTGTCACCAAGCTTAGTTGGAAGCCCAAATAGACAGAAGGTGCTGTTTTATTAATACTGCATTTTCAAATATCACCACAAATGTATTACATGACCTTACGTATGTTTGTTCAGCATTTTACAGCTTGCAGTAGCCATCATTCCACTTGGTCCTAATGTCCCTGTGTAATGGAAATCTTTTCTCATCAACCGATGGAGCATAATTAAGTCTTTTTCATGGCTGCATGATATTCCATCGGAATGGATAACGCATATTTTACTCAAGTGTTTCCCTGTAGCTAGACATTTACTTTGTTTCTGATTTTTTGCCATTGTGGACAAGTCTCGCAGTAGATATACTTTACATATGTCCTCACTTCTGGTGGTTATATTTCCAAGCATTGGGATTGCATCTGGAACAATAGCCAACACTGGGATTCTTGGGTTGAAGGGTATACATATTTTTAATTTGAATAATTTGCTAGTTTGCTTTTCAAAAATGTTGTAGCAGACCAGGTGCGGTGGCTCACGCCTGTAATCCCAGCACTTTGGGAGGCCAAGGCAGGGGATCACCTGAGGTCAGGAATTTGAGACCAGCCTGGCCAACATGGTGAAACCCCATCTCTACTAAAAATATAAAAATTATATTTGGGTGTGGTGGTGGGCACCTGTAATCCCAGCTACTTGGGAGGCTGAGGCAGGAGAATCACTTGAACCTGGGAGGTGGAGGTTGCAGGAGGTGGAGGTTGCAGTGAGCTGAGATTGTTCCATTGCACTCCAACCTGGGCAACAACAGTGAGACTCCATCTCAAAAAAAAAAAAAAAAAAAGTTGTAGCAATTCGTATTTCTATCAGCAAATGATGAGAAATAGTTATCACTCTTTTAAATGTTTGCCAGTCTGATGAGAATAATGGCATCAATTCTTTTCCTGACTACAAGTAAATATGAACATCTTTTTTTTTTTCTTTTTTTCTTTAAGAGCCCGGGAAACAGTATGCTGCTCAGGCTAGGCTTGAACTCCTGGGCTCAAGTGATCCTCTCACCTCCTGAGTAGCTGGGATTACAGGTGCATGCCACCACAACCAGCTAATATAAACATTTTTATGTGAATTGTCTGTGAATTCTTATGTGAATTATTCTCTATGCATTTCCTCATTGAGTTGTGTATCTCCAAAGAAGATACACAAATGGACAACAAGCACATGAAAAAAATGCTAAACATTGTCCATCATTAGAGAAATGCAAATCAAAACCACAATAAGATAGTATTTCAACCGGGCATGGTGGCTCACGCCCATAATCCCAGCACTTTGGAAGGCTGAGGCAGGCGGATCACCCGAGATCAGGAGTTTGAGACCAGCCTGGCTAACATGGTGAAACCCCATTTCTACTAAAAATACAAAAAATTAGCCGAGTGTGGTAGTGCACTCCTGTAATACCAGCTACTCAGGAGGCTGAGGCAGGAGAATGGCTTGAACCCGGGAGGTGGAGGTTGCATTGAGCCGAGATCACACCACTGCACTCCAGCCTGGCAACAGAGCGACAATCCATCTCAAAAATAATAATAATAATTAAAAATAAAGTTAATGATGTTTCTTTTCTAAAGTTCTAGGAAAGGAAAGTGGGTGAGAACGTGGTAACTTTTTTCTTCTTTTGGTTTTCAGTCATACAGCTTTGCTTCATTTAGATTTAAAAATGTTCCCTAAAGGGGCTGTGATGAAAAGTTGTCTTCTATTGAAGTTTCCAGTGTTGGGGGGAGATTAAGGTAACAGAGAAAGTTCCAAAACTAAAAAAAACCCCAATTATTATAGTAGCTTCTTAACACCTCAGCTGTGAGTCCCTTTTCCTGTCCAGTCCATGGTATGCAGTATTGGGGTGTTAGTCTTAGGGAGCTGCATCACTACGACACTGAGGTGCACAACCTCACAGCAGTGTACCCTTCAGCTCCTCCCATATTCAGTGTGCCTCTTGCCCTCAGGCCTGGCTCCAGCCACAGCATCTCCCAAGGATGTGCCTGCCTCCTCTTGCTTATGGCCTTTGTCCTGGCTGCTTCCTCTCGCTGCAGTGTTCTTTGTCCTGCACTGTCAGACAAAGCTTTCAGGATTCAGCTTTCAGGATTCAGCTCACGTGCTTTGACATGCACAGCCCCTCTTAATCCTCCCCAGCACCCTTTGATGTAAACACTGTTATACCCATTTACAGATTACACAAATGTGTGCGTGTTAGATGTGTTTATGTGTGTGAAAACATACCCATTTTACAGATATAGTAATAGAGCAAACAGAGGCACAGAGATTTAAGAATTTGTCTCGTATCACACAAGAAGTAAATCAAGGAGCTTATTCCAAAGCCTATGCTGTCGATTACCATCCAGTATCAGCAGAGTTGAAAGCAGCATCTGATTGAGACGCACCATGAAGCTATACTATAAACTCTCAAAAGCAAGACATGTGAGGAAGCTTTGCTAAACCATTTTTCTCTGTCTTTCCTCTTTGGGTCCAGGTTGAAGTAAAGCCATATGTGCTGGATGATCAGATGTGTGATGAGTGCCAGGGCACACGCTGTGGTGGGAAGTTTGCCCCGTTCTTCTGTGCCAACGTCACCTGTCTGCAGTATTACTGTGAATACTGCTGGGCGAGCATACATTCCCGAGCCGGGCGGGAGTTCCACAAACCGCTGGTGAAGGAGGGAGGCGACCGCCCTCGTCACGTCCCGTTCCGCTGGAGCTGAGCCACGGCCGACCCAGCCACAGTACTGGAGTAGATAACAAGGAGGGGAGAGAGAGGGCACTGCCTCAGGGCTTACAGTGTTCTGGAAATCTGTGCATTCATTCTTGATTTTTAAAGAAGAATTGGGTCTTTTTATTATTATTAATTATTATTATTATTATTATTTACAGTCATATTACTGAACTCAGTGTCCAGTATAATGCAGAATTGCAGAGTGTAGAATGGTACTGATTTGCACTTTGATTCACACCTTTGTCTGCTTGGTACCTTAATTTTTTATACCTGATTTGTCACTCGTGACAGTATGTAGGCTGCCATTCTCATTAGCGGCCGTCAGGCTACTGTCTGTGATTCTTTTGTTTGTTGCTGTGGTGGTGTTGTTCTGATTGTTTTGAACTGGAGCATGCACTTATTTTCAGAAACTTAGAGAGTTGCCCCTAGAACAAGACTTACCAAAGGTAATACTCGTGAGTAGGTGGCAGATGTAGCAAAAACTTCACAACAATTCAGCAATCATTAGTTCGGGTCACTTAGAGTAAGGATAACCCTTCATGAAAATAAGCCTTTAGTTGCTCTCTATTTTGACTTGTAAGGATACCTCATAAGCTGGATCTTTTATTTTTCCTTCATGTTTGATTTTTGTTTTGCCGAGGATTTTGGTTAGATCTTTTAGTATTATGTAAATTTATGCTGCAATAGCTTTTGCTGCTATTAAAATGGTATTATTAATACCATAATACTCTATTCAGGCTAAGATATCAATTAAAAACAAAAACCCAACAACACACTTTTGAGATTTTAGGGATAGAGTCAGCTGCCGAAAGGAGATCAGAATAGACTTCAGAAAGCTTCAGTGGAAGGTCACTATTTCTGACTGCATGTTTACTTAATCAGGTTGCTGCATGCAATAAATTTTATATCCAATGTCTAGTATAAAACGTTCCCACAATGCACAAATTAAGAATCTATATAAGCTATAAAATACTCATTTTTTAAAAAAAGTTTTTTTCATTCAAAGAATTGGTAATTGACCAGAGGAAGGCATGCCTCAGTAAATGGAATGCTCTGAATGAGAAGAGCCCATAACAGAATGACCTATATTACAACCGATATAAAACCTAGGTGTAGGATATTCTTCAAGCAAATTTGTGGATGGTAGATGAAGTACTTTGCGGTGCTCTGTTATATATTGTGCAATTTATTTTATATAGTAAAGTGATTATGTCTAACTGTGATCAAACTTAACTGTTTAAAGCCTCTGTCAGACATTAACGAACTTGACAGTTCATAACTGGTATATTATAAACTAACACATGAGCTCTTAGTTACAATCTCTTAGTGCTTGCACCATTTTACATAGCTTCAGACCTTGTCCAGAAAACCAAAGAGCTCATCTTAGCTTACAAACACTAAGAATATATACAGGATATAGAGATAAGTTGTCAGATTGACAAACTAGGCACATTTTTAAGAAAGTTGTGTAATGGTGATGCTAAAGAAATGTCTGTACAAAATAAGATGGCCTGGGCAGAGTTGGTTGTCTGGGTGAGAAACTAACTACTTAATTCCCTGGATTTATCCTGTTAAGCTTGAGTAGAATGAAGGCCTGCTGGCACTAGCGTGGTCTAGAATGGAGGCCTGAATGGAGGCCTCCGCTGGAAATTAGCGCACTAGAATGGAGGCCTGCTGGCACTAGCGTGGTCTAGAAATCGGAAGGCTCCGCTGGCACTAGCGTGGTCTAGAAATGGAGGCCTGCTGGCCCTAGTGTGGTCTAGAATGAGGCTCACACTAGCGTGATCTAGAATGGAGGCCTGCTGGCCCTAGTGTGGTCTAGAATGGAGGCCTGCTAGCACTAGCGTGGACATTTTTCTAGCATTCACCCTTGGGCTGCAGATAGTAATATATAAACACACACAATGATTGCAAGACTATAAATCTTTTTTTAATCTTCTTCCTATGTTTTGGAATTCTGGGGACAATCTGACTGGATATGACACTGCAGAATAGATTTAAGTCGCTGTGTTTTCTGTGCTGTGATGTCCTTGTACTGTCTTAAGTTAGTGTTGCTTTTGTTTCGTTCTCCCATGTTTGGTTGCAATTACTGACTCTCAAGCTATAGTTTGTTTTCAAAAAGGAAAAACAAAATAGTTTTTTACTGGATTAAAAATGCTTATTTTAGAATCCTCCCCTTTTTGAGGCTTTTTGGTAATAATTGCTTTTTTCCAGCCCCGGTGTGGTTTTGTTTGTTTTTTTCTATGTTTGTGGGTTTTTTTTTCATCTGTACAAGAAATTTTGTTATGCACTACTACTTTTTGTATTCTAGACAGTTTTCAAAAGTTGGCAATTTTTTTTTGTTTTTAAGGAAAAAGGCATGCTTTCTGACTGACATGATCTTTTGCAATACCTCAATTTTGAAATATAGGAAAGAAAATGATATTTTCTAAGTAAGTTTATTCAGAAAAATATATATTAATTTAATTCTGCAAGAAAATGATTTAACAGATGGGTAACTTTATTTTTTTCATGCTTATTTGTGTTTTTTGAAAATGAAGAAGTTAGAGCTTTATAACTATAATATTAAAGATCATATCTAACCTACAGAAATCTACCTAATTATGTGAAAGAAGCAAAACTTTTTGAAGAAGCACCCCTCTTTCATGTATTAAAATAACACTGAGATTTTTTAAAAAGCTGGAAGATTGTACAGCATAAAGCTAAAGTGAAGACAAAAAACATTGTCCTGAAGAATAGGTTACAAAAAATAAACTCCATTTGGTGCTGAACGTTGTGAATAGATGGTGGAAACTACTTTCCCTTAATTTGTATATTTCTAATCAAGCGTTGATTGTGCGCGACTGACCAGGATTGTGAAAGAGTTCTTCTGTTTGTATTTTTTTAAAGAGAACTTTTTTAGTTTATTAAATTATAACATGTTCCCTTTTGTTTTGTAAATAAATGTGCCCCCAAGTTGTTAATGTTATATTAAAAGAGAGGGTCCTTCAAAAAAATTATTTTTTAAAACACAGAGGTGTTCTGACCTGCAACTTGACTGGGAAGCCCCTGGGTAACACAGGTCCTGCTGTGGCCTTTCCTTGGTGTGACACTTGAACTAGTCGATTTTTTGAAGGCTATAACTTAACCTCGACTATTTGTTGTTATGTGCAATACTGTTTGTACTGTTTGTATAAAAAATAGAAAAAAAGAAAAGAAAAAAGGCATAAATCTTTATTGCAGATTTATTTTCATTGCAAACTTTAGACATTGTGATTCACTGAAATCATTTTTCTACTGTCAAATATGTACCTTTTCTTCATGCTGGTATTTTTTCAATAGTAATGTAGCCTTTGTACTGAGACAAATTTTCATTGTTATTTTTAGAAAGATTTTTTGCTAAGAAAAAAATTAAACATATTTACATATTTTTCATTTTATTTCGTATTTTCTTTAAGGAGTGCTTTCTCAATCATTAATAGAGTTGTTTCTGGGAGGGACTTTCATATCTGGTCAATGTCATAATATTATTTTGTATTTTTATTGGAATAAATTAATTTTATGATGCTAATTCTTTAAAAGTTTATTTTTTTCATTTTCAGTTATTTTTGAAGCTAAAACCTTTGTAATATTGTTACTAAAGTGTCTAGTTTTTTGAAATGCAAAGCTTTATGTATTAACTTGCTGATGTGGTTTACAATAGTGTGACAACGATGAAAATGGTTGGTTATGTAAAGTGATTGGAAATGTAACGGATAATTGGGTAATAAAATGACAGAATGAGCAGAACATGTGAGATTTTGAGAAGCCTTTTCCTTTATCACAGTGGATTAGTGTAAGACTAGGGATGTCACAGTGCAGTTCTCTAGGGATGTCACGGTGGATTTATACAACACCAGGTGCAGCCAAACCTGTGGCCCTGAGAATGAAGTCACCCCAACCGGAATACCACCGGGTTTCAAATCTGGCTAAGTCAACAGAATGTTTCATTGCTTTTTCCCCTCTAACTCTTCATTATGTCGTGTGTGTGTGTGTGTGTGTGTGTGAGAGAGAGAGAGAGAGAAAGAGAGAGAACCTGCCACCAACTGCTGTCCTTGTGTGAGACAGTGCCTTTCTCCCAGGCCGAATCTTTTATGTGCACTGACAGTGGTGATGTCTGAGTCATACAGGAAGTTGCTAAGAGGACACCGCCTTCATGGTATACTGCAGACCTCACCTGCAGGGTCTCACTCGTGCTGCCTCCCTGTAAGGCTCAGTTGGTGGCACTGAAGCAGCACACTCGGCTGTCAACACTGTCTGTGGACCCTGACTATGTGTCGGGTTGCATCTTCCTCCACACCCACGCCTGCTTCCTGTTCTGGTGCCCCATGTTTGCCTTTCATTGTGGCAACTGCGTGCATGATCTGTCTGCCTTTCTGCTGCTGCTTTTCCAACACCCTCCTCACCTGGAAGCTGTGCAGTTAAGGCACAGTCATTAATGTGTCATTGCAATAGCACCTACAGTCAAAGCAAAAACTACAACTGCAAAACTGGTGTTGCGTAAACAGAACAGCCAATGACTTGCTCCAGATAGATGATATGTTTCTACTAGTGGTTGATGGCCTCTTTCAGCTCCATCGCTGTGGAGGTGAGGTTCATCAATAACTCAGAGAAACTTGTGTCCAGAGTTGGTCTTGGGTATGCTCTATGTATTCAGTTTTGTAAATAATATATAGATTAGATCAAGTTGTGATGTAAAATTTTAACTCAAATTGGGTACTACTGGTTGGAATTTTACATTAACTACAAATAAATGATTAGGAACAGAAGAAAAGAAATCGGAAAATTCTTGCTTAGTGGTATAAAGATTATGCTTAGATTTCTGCCTATATCTTGTGTTTTATAGCTTGTTAGTGAGGCATGGGCTAATGCAGAATGTACTGCATTTATGCAATTAGCGAATAACTGCTAGTTTTCATTTTATCTATTATATTAGCAACAAAATGGCATTTAACTGGGTAAAGCTCCTACCTAAATATTTGAGTATTGTGACATCTCTACTTGCAAGGTTTGAGTGAAAGATTAGTCACAGATTAGTGAAAAAAATGTATCTTTTTGTTAAAAATGGCTTATTTGAATGGATTGTTGCTTTTCACTAGCTTGTATGGTATGTCAGCTAACATTTCTTTGTTTTTTTTTCTTTTATAATAACTAAACTTCTCTATCTCAGCTGCAATAGTGTTCCATCTCACCACAGAGTGTTTTATAATTAATGCTGTTGACTTTATACCCCAAAATGGGTCAAGAAGTGGCTATATGATTCGGGGATGTTTAAATTTGTATGATGACAAAGTTAATTGCAACAAGTAGAAAACTTGGGTGCTAATACAGGATAACTTATGCTCTTTTTCTTACCTGGATATAGTTCTGTTGGGGTATAAAGTATTAGGTATTTGTATTTTTGCTGTCAAAATAATGGACTTAACTTTTAGAGTGTTCACAGCTAAGATCTCTGTATTTGTTTTTCAACTAACAACTAATTTTAAATGTACTGTATCTTTTATTACTTGTTCTCTTAGATTGTTTTTTGCTAGTAACCCTTACTCAGCTTCTGCCTTTGGGGCTTGGACTAATATTGCTTGTATGGAACTACAGTACTGTGACTAAACATGGAGCTCAATGCAGCTACTGCTTATAACTGCTTAAACTTTGTAGTTTGGACTTCATTTTTTTCTGTAATAACAACTTATTAAATCTAGTTGTATGAAGTACTGACACTTGTCATCCTTTGCATTTGCTGAGGAATAGCTTGGAGTATATGGTTCACATCTGGGAACACTGGTGCATTCCAGTTTGCTTGATTAGATTTTTTTTTTTTTTTGGACAAATCCCCTTAAAGCAGACTAAGTACAGCAAAATTCACCCTTTCTCTGACACAAATAACACTCGTTTATGAAAAACACGCAAGTATATTTGCAACAAAGTATTTGTTGACACAT